ACACACACACACACACACACGCGCGCGCGCGCACACACATCTTCCTTATTCTGTGTTGCCATTTCCTCTTGCTTTTATAATGTTGGGATTGAGCTTTTTTGACCCAGCCTGTTGAGTCCGTTTGAATTTTTTAAAAGGATATTTAAAAAATGCCACTGTCAGCCATTTTGGAGTTGGAGGGTAAGGGTTGTCATAACTTATCGTAGGGAATTGGCTACAAGTTCGCAGCTCGTAGAAACAAGTGCATACAATTGCATATCATCTTCACACGTCGTTTTGTGTTTATGTTTCTGTGTGAAGTGTGGGTGTCACAGACGGGTTGGTTAAGTGAATATTGTAGGAAACAATCATACGATTGCCAAACTCTTTAACATTTTGTAACTCATACAATCAGTTTTTTAGCTCATTGTTTTTTGTCTCTAGATAAGGGTTTAGGCGCTCTGGTTAGCATGCCTATCATCAAACGTTATGATTTCTATTTTAGCAAATGTTGAAAGAAAGCGTTAAAAGACAAAATGGCTTTTCAACAACTTATTGCTTTGTCGTAGACGGGAAATTTGATTACCAAGTTCGCTCATTGCACGCTGGTTATTTACTTCTTGGAATTTTCTAGGTTTTATGTTTAAAAAATGCCATGGGAATAAGAACGTTGAATTTGTCCTGTGCATTTGTCCTTCTTGCTTTTCAGCCAATGTTTAATGCTTTTCAGAGTGAGGCGGGTGGTTGGGGGGCACTGCTGGTAGGTCTACATTTGTTACTTTCCCCTCTGTTGTTTGTGTCTGTTTCTCTTATTTTCCCAGCACTAAATGGCCATTATTTCGTCCATGTACTTCTCTTTACTCAAACAAAACGAACAAATCAGTTTGAAAATAAACACACCAAAACGCCGCTAGTATTTTTAAAAAGATATAAAAGAGTACTAAAGAAGCAGGGTCTGCATGCATAATGTATGACACAACCAATAACTCCACAAGTCGAAACTTGAAGCTGTTGTTCTCACCTCCTATTTGACCTGAATAAAACAGTAATGGAGAACACCGCTGAGCATGTGGCGAAAGATCGAATGGGCTGCGCTGTGGACAACCTAGGTTTTGAATCCTCAACGGCGTGTTCTTGAACTTGTCTAATTTGGGTAGCTTGGCTTTCGGGCTAATGAAGTGTCTTAGAAAAGAAATATCAGATATTGCCATATTGCCTGCGTGACTCCTCGAACTGGTTGGGAGTGTGCCCATTGTTCCCTTTGTCAAAGGCTCAATAATTAACTCACAATTATGCCTTGTAATATATCATACAAAGAGCGTGATAATTCCTAAAGCTGGGTTTGTTAGATAAGATAGTTCGCCTCTCATACGTATTCGGCAGTGGTGTTTTTGATCGTGTTCAAATTCACTGCAAAACTGGCTATTTATTGCTGTCCTTTGTTGAAGGTCGTTTACCATTGAGACGCAACCTTAGTCATTTCGAAGGCGAAACGCTTTGACTTTGTCCTACTTCCGGACACCAGGAAGAACCGACGTACTATTTCAGGAAGGCCTCGAAAAATAATCTTGACCTCCATCGGATTCGAACCTTGTCTTAGCGAGTGGCAAATCAGGTTTGTAGCCTACTGTGTGACATCCGCCAGTCTATAGAGTGGTGTCAGTTGAGAAACTGTATCCTGTAGATGCTCAAAGTCGACGTGTTCTGTTTGACTCGTGGTTGGTTGGCGGGTGCTCTGGTGTGGTTTGCTTCTTCTTTCCTGTCAAACGGCTATCATCATTATCTCCTCTCCTTCTTTTTTGTTTTTGTTACTCTCTTGTAACACCTCTATTCTTCGGCACTTATATGACCTTATTGTATTGCAATTGCCGTAAAACACTTACTAAAACGAAACTATTTGACTTCAAGTGTTTTAAACATGACACCGCCAATTTACCAGGTTACTATTAACAGAGTGGTTTGTTGCTCTCGTGGTAGGAAGTACTTCGTCATGTGGAAAGATCTTAGATCAATACAACGTGAAGGTGTTTGTTTTTGTTTGTTTTGTTTTGTTTTGTTTTATTATTTTTTAAAGAGAAGGCGCATTACCAGTGTCTGTGGTGCAGCGGGTTTTTACGTTTTTCTGCTGGGCCGTTATGTCCCTCTCAGCCTGGGTTGGCCCTGACAAGCAGGGTCAGAAGCCCGGCTCTGAAATGCTGTCAGTTGTATCGATGGGGGCGTAAAACCCTTACATGAAAAGAATTTTGTTTGTTTCTATGAAGACGTATAACTATTGGTTGGTTTCAGTTGGGCATGCTAAGCTGTCTTTTAAGGGGCACCAGAGTCTATGCCAAAACTCAAGTGGGATGTACTGAAAAAAAAATCGAGAGCATCTTTTACAAGTTTAAATACAATGTTCCTGTTTGCTGATCTTATTCAGCCCC